ATCCAATCTTGTGTGCACATGATTCTGATGCAGACTAAGTCCTCTGTGTTATCCTCCGCCTCTGTCTTTCATTTTGTTCTTTGTCATGGCGAGCCCTGGTCTGTTGCACACTGGCATTGTAATGTTTCATTTCTTAGATATCAGCAGGATCCATCAACTTGATCTTGTTCTCCTCGGCCTCAGGGTATTTCTCCTGCTCCTGATTCAAATATTTAGCTCGATCAGGAACATATGCTTCGCCATCAAAGGTATCTACAAGAACTGTGATCGTGAAGCAAAGCACTGGCAGAATGGCCCCCCACCATTGCTGCAATCATCTGCGGAATGTTAAAGAGAAGGTTTTGTATGTTTTCACAAAAACTTTGACTTGACTTGCAAATTTGTGACAACTTCTTTACAAGAACTTTGGTCGACCCATTGCAATAATCTGGGCCTATGACACTCCTGCTGAAGACCAAAAAGAAACACATTTGATGCTGCATATTGGTACAAACAGCAGTCTGTTGAACGCGGCTATGCTGTTCACACATCACTAATACGGTCATGTGTTATCCTAGTCTATGCTTAGTGTACACTGACATCATATACCATATGCGGATTCCTCAGTACTTCCTTATGTAATACTGTCATGCATTTATGTATATAAGTAGCTATGTCCTGTACTGGAATCCAGCTCGCTTCTCTCTCATCTTTATTGCCTCACTGAGACTATAAGCTATACTACCCAGGTATGGTGCTAGAGAGTGTCACCACTATGCACCCCTTGCCTGCTCAACAGGTTATGGGCCCCGGATGAACACTTTGCTGAGCTCTAAGCTCGCAGCACTCTCTGGTTTACTGTTGTCATTGACGCATCTATTTGATTGCTGTCTCTGACACAGACCTTTACCTGGAATGTTGCCTCTGGCGCTGGAGTCAATATCGCACCTAACAAGTGCTGATTATGACATCGCCCAAGAGTGCTTGACACTGTAGATGACAGCTTGCTAGACATATGTCGCAGCTTGTCACTACTGGCAATAACATTCATGCCATTTTATTTTCATCTGTTGTCTTGAGCATTTATGAATTGCATGCTGACATCACTGTTGATTTTATCCAGATTACAATGTCTTCTGCACTCTTCACCGCTGTTACCACCACCCTCAAAGGTGATAACTACGACACCTGGATCTCTGAAATGGAAGCCTTTCTCCAAGCCACAGGGCTTTGGTCTACCATTATCTCCGACCCGCCTGCCGAGCCGTCTCCACTTGATTCGACAGACCTCGACAGTGTCAAAGCCTGGAAGGAGTATGACGATAACCTCAAATCCTGGAAGGAGACCGACACTAAGGCTGTTGGAAACATCCGCCTCCGCCTTTCTCCGTCAATCCGCACCCTTGCTAAGGACGAGGGTGACACGGCTAAGAAACTGTGGGAATTCTTGCAGAAAACCTACAAGGTCAAAGGTCTAGGCGCAGTCTTTAATGACTTTGCTGCCGCCATGGCTGTCAAGGTCCCATACAAGGGAAACCCACTCACAGCTATGACTGACATTGGCATGTTCTTCACCCGTATGGATGACGCTGACATTGGCATCCCTGACCACCTCGAAGCTCTGATTCTTCTATCTAAGCTTCCATCATGCTACTCTGTCGTTGTCCAGACTATGTCTCAACTCGGTACTGAGGAGCTCAAGGAATTGACGTTTGCCAAAGTTCGTATCGCAGTTATGAACGCTTTCAGCGGAGACACCATTAACAATCGCCCAGGTCAGAACTAATGACATATCTCGGAGTTTCTGATGGTGGACACGGAAATATCTACATGCGGTCGAACAATGCTATGTTCACTGCTACGCACGCTGTCTTCGATGAGAAATTATTTCCTCGTTGTAAAGCCTCAGAGTGTCATCGCTCTACGCGACTACCAGATCGCAACACAGATCCTAAAGATCCAATTCCTCCACCTGATGATGATGATGTTCCTCCATCTCATCAACCTACTACTCCCCAAAGGAGACAGGATCCGGAGCAAGACGTTGCACCGCCTGCGCCAGCTGAACAGCCAGCGCGAGATCCTAGTCCGCCGCCACAACCCCGGAATGAACAACCTCCTGCTGAAGAGCAACTGAGACGTTCAGGTCGTGTGCGGAGACCACCTACTCGTCTTACCGGTGATCCTAGAAGCAGCAGTAAGCTTCCTACGGAACAACAGGTAGAGAGACCAAAGAGGGATATTCAGAGACGCGCAAGAGCTCCACAGCCAGGTAGCTCCTCGGCTGAGCAAGAACGCCCTGAGCCAAAACAGGTTCCCGGACCTAGTACTGAGCATCCTACTCCTGAAGATGGAGAACAACCCTCTGTCACTCCCGGTGACGAAGCTAGTACCCTGATCAGACTATGTCGGGAAGGGGGAGCTGAATTAATATATTTTCTCATGGCTAAGGCCGTTCCCTTTGAGGGGGAGCTGAAAGGCTCCGAGAACGTCCGTGAATGGACTTACAAGGACATTACTCGCCTACCTAAGGCTGAGCGTGAGGAATGGCTTAAGGCCTGCCAAGAAGAGCTTGAAGCGCTCAAACGGCGTGGTACTTTTGAACTCATGGATCGTCCAGCAGACCGAAAGGTCATTAAGAACCGCTGGGTCTTCGACGTCAAATCTGACGGTCGTAAGAAGGCACGCCTTGTTGTCAAAGGGTTCTCACAAATTGAAGGTCTTGATTATGACCAAGTCTTCTCTCCTGTAGTACGGTTTGAGACTGTTAGACTGTTGCTCGCCTTGACTGCGCTGAACAACTGGTATCTCACTGGACTCGATGTTCGAAATGCCTATCTATATGGCGTCTTACATGAGACTATCTACATGGAACAGCCTGAAGGTTTTCGAATCAAAGGCAAAGAGGATAAAGTCCTCTTACTGCGCAAAGCTCTGTATGGACTGAAACAAGCAGGTCTTGTCTGGTGGCGAACACTGGACTCATACATGAAAACACTCGGCTTCAAACGCTTGAGCTCTGATGCAGGTATCTTTGTCCGTCGAGGTAAAGATGACTCTCTAGTCATCGCCATCATCTACGTTGATGACGCACTCTTTGCTGGACCTGACAAGAAACTCTTAGCTTCTCTAAAAGAGAAATTCATGTCACACTGGGAATGCAGAGATCTTGGTGAAGCCAAAGAATTCCTTCGCATGCGGATTACTCGTCGTGGCAAAAAGATCTATATTGATCAATGCGCCTACCTTGACAAAGTCCTTAAGCGTTGCGGTATGGAAAATGCTAAAATGGCTGATACACCACTTCCTGCAGGGTTCCAACCTGAACCCACCAAAGGCCAGGCGGATTCCGCTCTTCGTAGCAAGTTTCAGATGGTTATTGGTTCCCTTCTCTACCTTATGTTGGGCACACGTCCCGACATCTCCTTCGCTGTCACCAAGCTTGCACAACATGCAGCTAACCCATCTCAAGAGCACCTTAGCAAGGCACTCTATATTTGCCGCTACCTCCTAGGTACGAAATCATATGCACTTTGCTATGATGGTGAATCGGGTATTGGTCTCAGTGCTTGGACTGATTCGGATTGGGCTTCCGATCCTTATACTCGCCGGTCTCAGACTGGATATTTTATGAAGCTTGCCAATGGCATCTTCTCTTGGACCAGCCATGCGCAGAAAACAATCGCTCACTCGTCTACAGAGGCTGAGTATATGGCATTGTCTGATTGCAGCCGCCAAGTGGTTTGGGTCCGCAATCTACTTGAGGAATTAGGCTATAAGCTTGACGCTATTCCTATTGCTGGAGACAATCAAGGATCCATTTTCATGGCATCAAATCCTGTCACTAGCAAGCACTCAAAACACATTGACATCCGATATCATTATATCTGTGAAGTTGTTGAACGTGGTCTTGTGCAAGTATTCTTCGTAGATGGCAGTAACAACCCTGCAGATCTTCTCACAATGAATCTTGGGCGTATCAAATTTGAGCTATTCCGCTCAATGCTTGGACTTGAGTTTTACTCGTCCACCAATCCTTAGGCTGTCTGCCTTGCCTGACGCCTACCGCTATTGCTTCGAGCAAAGTACTTTACTGTGCTGCTCAGCAAGGGGGAGTGTTGAACGCGGCTATGCTGTTCACACATCACTAATACGGTCATGTGTTATCCTAGTCTATGCTTAGTGTACACTGACATCATATACCATATGCGGATTCCTTAGTACTTCCTTATGTAATACTGTCATGCATTTATGTATATAAGTAGCTATGTCCTGTACTGGAATCCAGCTCGCTTCTCTCTCATCTTTATTGCCTCACTGAGACTATAAGCTATACTACCCAGGTATGGTGCTAGAGAGTGTCACCACTATGCACCCCTTGCCTGCTCAACACAGTCAAGCAGCTTTGGCGCGTGTGGCAGAATATAAGGAAGTCCTCATTGCCAAATCTATGCAGGCTATTGGATTTCCCTCTGAGAAACAAGCACAGTTGAAGTGGCATCAGGTTTAATAATGTACCACTACTATACTGTATTCGAAATTTTCAGTACATTATATAGCCTGCTTCTTATGCTTGGTGTATTTATCACCAAATAACTTGATTTCAGTTATTTTCTCAACCTAGCAAACCTGATACATGCAATGGGATGTAGTATCTATATTAATTACACACAAAGGGTAAATGTATAGTTCAATCAAGTCTACCAGCTGCAAAGGTCCATTCAAGTCTGTAGAGTCCAACCCTTCTAACCTGCGATCACTCCTACACATTACAGACTCAGTCCTGCATCAGTGACAGCCAGTCGAATTGCAAAGCTTAGAAGTGGAATACTCAATATGGCAGCATGATATACAATCTCAGACTGTGCAAAGAAAAAACACATTACTTCAATTCTACCAAGCAAAACAACAAGGGCCAACAAGTAGCATGCCTGCCCCTCCTCAAGATCCTTTCACAAACATGTACCCCTTTTCCACTGAACCAAAACACGCAAAAAAATCTATACGAAAAGCTTACTCAATGCATTAAGAGGGAATCCAACCCCCGGCGGGTCGAGATAGATTTAGAAGAACTCTCATGATGGCAATGACCCAGGTTACCACTACCCCATTAATGCTTTGTTGTTTGTGTGGTACGGTATCGGTATTGTCCTGATATTGCTCGTATCGTCCCGGGAATTGTTTTTATGGGATTGCGTCCCGGATCAGCGATATCGGAAGGGGAGGAGGGGGAAGGGACGGAGATGGTTGGAGGAAGAAGTAGGTGGGAGGGTGGGGAGGGGGGAATAGTGAAGTGTTGAAAAGATCAGAGGAGCACCTAAGGAGAACTTATGGTGGTCGGACGATGGCTGAAGAATAGCACCGAAGGAACGTAGTAAGGATACGTAAAACGCACGGACTCGGAACTTTGATTTCACTTCCCCAGTTCCCCACCGAGACACTGATTCTGTGCGTGGAGGAATAAAATGAATCAACGACGACGCGGGGGAAAATTTCAGGCCATGTTAGGTTTATTCCTAGACCGAGGATTCCATTCAGCCTGATGGCGTTAAATGAAGGAAGGGGTGGAGGGGTGAAAATAAACGGGGGACTGCTTCAATGGAGATGTTGAGTGAGGGGATGATCTGTCTATAGAGGACCACGGCGCATACGTAGCAAAGAACTCCACTCCATACCCCTCCTGATATACCTCCGGATTTCGATTCTCTTCTCAAGATTGTTTGTTCGATTATCGCAGTTACACCTCCGTCGCTCTTCTCCCGTGAAACCTCCCGTCCGAACACAATACACAAAGAGTCTTTCAGTAGCACTGAATTATAACCCCGAGTCAACGTTCAGAACTACCCAGCGGGTCGAGAGAGGCCTAGAAGAATACGCAGTATGGCAACGACCCAGGTGACCACTACCCCATTCATGCTTCGAATATTTTGGAGCTGGGGGTTATTGAGAAGGAACTACCTACGGAATGAATGGGGAGGGGCGGGGAGGGATGTTGGGGTGGGTGTTGACAGAGAAGAGAGTTCATGAGAGGGCGTTAGTAGAAGGATTAGAACGACGCTAATGGAGAGAGCTTACAGTGGAGGATGGTATCAGTGGTATTATATCAGAAACATGGATGAGAGTATCAGACAAGATTTCTGGGGTTTCCGTACTTCGGAATGAAATGTATTGAAGATGAGGACGCGGGGGAACATTTGCGGCCATGTCAGGTTTATTCCTGGACCGAGGATTCTGTTCAGGGGTATAGGCGGGGAACTGCTTCGATAGAGATATTTAAAGAGGACCACAGCGCATACGTAGCATACCTCCGGATCTCGGATCTCTTCTCAAGATTCCTTGTTCGGTACTCCAGTACACCTCCGTCGCTATCCTCCCGCAAAACCTTCCGTCCAAAACACATACACAAAGAGTCTTCCAGCATTAGCAGTGAATTATAACCGCGAGTCAGCGTTTAGATGGGCTGTGGAAGCATGGATTTATCTGCATATAAGTACGTACCACCGTGACTGATGTGAAATCAACGCAGTCTTGAGCTTGGACCTCTGCCTTGCCGCATGGAATCAATTCATCATATGGAGTGCGAATGTGGTGAAGGCACATCGAACATGGTAGAGCGAACGAAAGGCGGTTGGAACGAGCTACAAATGGTGATGTCCGATTTAATTCTTCACCCTCCAGTTATTCGTTTACAAGAGCCTTCAACTTTCTGTACTTCAGACACATACATATACATGTGAGATTTTCAGAACACGGGAAAATAATTGTTGAAATGAATCATATATCACCCTCTGAACAAGCGCGCCAAACCCTGTCTATACTTGTTCTCCTCATTTTCACCCGTAATCAACCTCAATGCACTACTCCCCTTGCCTTCCATCATCGCCTTCAAATACGGTAAATAACGCTTCTTCATCGTCTCAAGATCCTCATTCCCAAATGTAAACCCTACCCCCTTTGCCTGTGTCGTGATCCGTGCTAGGCAGGACATAGATATACAGAATATCAATTGCCTCCGTCGACACCTTATCCAATGCAGCGTATAACCTCGTCTTTGCTTGTTGCAGATCTGCCGGTTCGGCTTTGAGTTGGCCTAGTAGAATCCCAGAATTGGGTCTCACGTTGGTAAACGACTCGAATAACTCCTTCATCCACATCCCGTTTTCGAACGTGGTGGAGTACCCCCGCGTGTCGATGGTTAAAATCCAGATTTCTTTATCGGGTTGGATGTTGGTTAGGGATAATTCGACTTCGGTACGGGTTTTCGGGTTGCGGAGTTGGTATTCGATGTTGCCGATTCTCGTATGGGGATTCGTGATGGTGATGTTTACCCAGAGCCGTACAAGGCGGACGTCGACGAGTTCATCTATGGCGGAATAGTGAGCATTACCAAAGAGTAGCATAATATTGGGAAGTCCTTACATGAAGGTGCTCTGTGGGATAATGGAGAAGCCGTGGTTGCTGCCATAAGGAGCGTCGATAGAAGAAAAATGAGAGGGAGTAAACGCATTTGAATCCAAGATAGCATGATTATGTCCTGATATTGTAGCGGCGGAAAGAGGATCGAAATATATGAATGATAGGAAGCTATAGGAAGAAATTGTCGATAGATGGATGGAATGAGCTTGAGGGGAGTATTCAATCTGACGAGAGAGAGATCAGTGAGCATTTGAAAGTCAGATTAATAAGGGATACAATCACAAGGATGTATAATGTACACACCAACGAGCGGGGTAGACGGGTTTTTTGACCAGCAAGAAACACGAAATTTACCCCCAACTCCGATGTGTTAAGAAACTAGGACAGCCAGAGGATTGGACACCTTCGTGAGCTTCTGTCGAGTAGAGCGAACTAGTGGGGATGCCGGTGGAGGGTTTTGGGGAGTGAGATTGAAGGACGAGCGCGTACGGAATTATTTGCTTGCTCGAATTTTGCCATCTATTTGTGTTTATTTATCGGTCCAAGCCCTAGGATCTCTGCAAGCCGGACGGCCCCGACGGTCCTGAAGATGTTGGAGAGGAATCCGAAGATTGGGTATAAGAATGGAAGGAAGCCGATGGAGAATTCACTAGGGAGGACGGACGATGCCGCAGAATGGGACCACTGGTATTATATACATGATAGTATCGGACTCGGATAACGTTAACTAGATTAGCGAGGTTTAGTTCTTCTTTCTCCCATCCCCGTCGCCCCGTCACTTCCCCACCAGTTCCCGGCAATTTCCCCGTCAGTTCCTCACTTCCCCACCTAGACAAGGCTAGACACCGTCCTTGTTTCGTGCGAGTTATTTTGACATTTAGCATACACGGTACACCCTCATCACATCCTCATCCTCCCGTGAAACCTCCCGTCCTAGCATGTACACAGAGTCTTTCAGCGTTAGCAGTGAATGTAACCGCGAGTCGACGTTTGGATGAAGAAGTTCGAACTCGAACATTCAAACAAGATTACGCTGTGCAGGAGGCGCAGGGAACCACGGGGGAGATCCTGGGATGTGTTGAAAAGTATACTGAGAGAAGAAGTCGTTCATAGAGCTCACCTGGATATTTTCCCGGTGACCGTTGCTACCCAAGCATGCGTTCACTGCGTGGGGATCAAGCTAAGACCGAGACACGATTGATACCTGTAGCGTACCCTTTGTAGCCCATATCTTCCTATACCCTCCTGCATTTCCTTCTACTACAACACACACCTATCGCTCATTTTGAAGAAGTCAGTTACACGTTACAGTCCTGACTTGTTTACGTTGCAATTCGTCAATAGAGAGGGGGGGAATTCAGAGAGGTGAAACTCACCCGGAAGATCTCGTCCTGATAGATCCACGTTAAGGGTGCGCCTCCGGACAACATACGGAGCGCTTGTTGAGATTAACGAGATAGTGTTGTGGATAAGTTCACGTTAGATCGTTAAGAAGGAACAATTCTCACGCTTGGTCAAAGCGGCACTATTTGGTAGAGGTCTGTCAAGTCTCACTACATCTAACTACGTCTCACTCCACAACTCGTCACTCAATTACAACCAAACCTCAATTACTCTATACCTAATGAATGCATATACCTATCAAGCGGTCCTGGAAACCCGCGCCTCTTCAGATGAGTGTCATTTGTATTCTGTTGGCGAAAACGCACTAATACATTGTTCTAAGAGAATATAACCTCTGCTCATTTCGCTTGTAGTTGAAGGATCTGGATTATTTCAATTCGGGGGAACTCCGATGAGGCGGGACTAGGATGCGGGATATGGGCGGGAATGGGTTGGGTGTGTGTTACATACAAAGAAAACGGTGCCGTCAAAAACAGCTTGGGATAAGCTGGACCACAGGGGGACTTAATTCGTCTGTGGGGCTTTCGGAATTCGAATGACGACTTGTATGTCTAAGGCTATATGTGTGTAGAGGACCAATAAATTACATATGTAGCGGGATCAGAGATGGAAAACTTACAGTATAAGGACAGACGAACGTTGCAATATTTTTTGAATTTTGAAGAAGTATGTTGAATGGCTGCAGAATGGCACCGAGGGAACAGTAACAATGATGAAAAACGCACGGACTCGGAGGATTAGAGTTATGGTTACTTCCTTCCTTCCTTCCTTCCTCGAAGATTCCTTCAACAGCTAGGGGACTGCTCTGGTGGAGACGTTGAGTGAGCTTATGATCTACATAGAGAGGAATTTCGCAGCGTACATGAAGCAAGAAGTGCTCTCCCCCATAATACCTCGAGATCTCTCTCGAAGTACTACTCTACGCTTGATTCTCTGTTCCGAGTCCAATACTCAGTGTACATACACGGTACTGTATACCTCCGTCGTCATCCTCCCGAAACCTCCCGTCCAAACACATACCCAAAGAGTCTTCGCGTTATCAGTGGGTATAGTAATGTCGGGTGGTTTTTGGGTTTTGGAAAGGGAAGGATTGGGATTGGGATTGGGATTGAACTCAACGAAATCCTTCTCCCAACCATGTGGATAATCACTCCCTCATCAGTTTAGTGACCATTTCCTCACTGATAAACTTAAGGAGTGAGCTTTCTTTCTTTCAATACACGTACATACCTATGTATGTACGTATCTCTCTACCTATGATATATCACATCTTCAGGCAATCTTTTCACTGCTTTATGCTTCCCTTGTCATCATAATATTGATGATGAGAAGCATCATGCATGACAACACCAAAAACCAATTCAGCGCTTTCTTTCATTTCTGACACTCACTCACTGGGTTATTTGGAAATGACTGAAAATCAGATTCCAGTCCCAGATTGAACGAGATATCTCGGGAGAGATCACCTGTATGTACATCATTCTCTTTGTTACAATCAATTTCAAACTAAGCACCATTGTAAAAGCTGGTTCTTTCAGAAACTAGATCAGCTAGAGGATCCACTTGGACACTTTCATGAGACTCTGTTTCGGTCAAGTAAAGCAAACTAGTGCACATGCCGGTGGAGGGTAGTTTTAGTAAATGAAGGAGGAGTGATTGTATGTATGTAATGATGGTGGGAAAGGGAATGGGGTGTGTGATACATATGAGAAGAGAAGGTTTATGGAATTGTGTGGGCTATACACATCTCAGCAGAATAAGTTGATAGTTATTCCTGAGCATGACCACAGTGTCTGCATGGACAATCAACTTACACATCACATTTAAAAAGGCCAAGAAAAACTTTCAACAAACATGTGTGTACTTGTACTTGTAACAAACCATCATAAAAAGGGAGCGGAGAGGGACCACTTCATTGATGCATTAAGGGGGAATCGAACCCCCGGCGGGTCGAGAGAAGTTGACCAAGTACTTGAAATGGCAACGACCCAGGTTACCACTACCCCATCAATGCTTTTCTTATATTGAATGCTTCGAATATCTTGGAGCTAGGGGTCGTTAGGAATCTGAAGGAAGGAAGTGTCTGTGGAGTAGAGATGTCAGAGAGTATTGGTATTGGTATTGAGAGCAGAGAGGGCGGGGTTTGAGATTTGTTGGAGGTTTTGAATGTTGAGTGAGGGATAAGAGGGGGGAGGGGAGAAGGTGGAAGTGAGGAATGGGTGGAGTGAGGAATGAGGAGGGGAGGGGGGAATGTTGGGGTGGGTGTTGATAAAAAAGAGAGATGAGAGGGAGTTAGTAGAAGGATTAGAGCGACGCTGATGGAGAGAGCTTACATCGAAGAATGCGGACGATGGCATAGAATGGCACAACCGGTGGTATGGATGAGAGTATCGGAAAAGATTTCTGGGGCTTCTGTAATACTTGGGAATGAAACGAACTGAAGATGAGGACGCGGGGGAAGATTTGAGGTCTATTCGTGGACCGAGGATTGTGTTCGGGGTGAAAATAGGCGGGGAATGGGCAGAACTTCACACCCCTCTCTCGATTTTCTTCTCTTAATTGCTTGTTCGGTACTTCCGTCGCCTCCCGAGAAACCTCCCATCCCAACACGTACACAAAGAGTCTTCCAGGGTTAGCAGTGAGTGTAACCGCGAGTCGACGATCCATCGAGGTCAGTCACACATTACACCCCCAGAGACATAAAGCTCACCAAAAGAATCCACCTTACCACCACAACACAATTCCAACCCGACCTAATCCCTACGCCCACCCCGCTACCAACAACCAACTGAACTCGCCAGACAGAACCCGACAAGGATGACATGGAGCGTTTGTTGAGATAAACGAGATAGTGTTGCGTAGATCGTTATACTGATAGCAAGGCCAGAAGGAAGGAACGATTCTCTCTCACGTGTGGTCAAAGCTCCACGTCCAAATTCCGGTATCAGACAAAAGTCTCACTAGCACAACTCCGTCACTCAATCACAACCACACCTCAATCCCTCTATACCTAACGAATGTATATACCTATCGAGCGGTACTGGAAACTCGCGTCTCTTCAGATGAGTGTCATTTGTGTTCTGTTGGATATGCGAGCTGATACTGGTACGTTGTTCTAGGGGAATATAACCTCTGCCCATTTCGCTAGCAAGCAGAGAGTCGAACGATTTGAATTTGGGGGATTTCCGTGAGGCGGGATCCGGATGGGGGATTGGCGGGGATTGGGGATAGAAGGGTGCCGTCAAAAACAGCGTGGGATAAGCTGGACCGCAGGGGGACTTGATTCGTCTGTGGGGCTTTCGGAACACTCGGATGACTACTGGGATTGGTGTTGTATCCCAGGAATAGTAACATCATCATTCCTCCACGATGCGAGGGTAGTAAGAACTATTGAGAATCAACAACGAAGGGAATCGAAGGGGTTAGCTGAAGAGTGATGGGATGGTAGAACACAAAACTTTCACAGAGGACTAATGGATTATTTGGCGGGGCCCATTAAAGAGTCATTGACAATGCAATGGTTCCTGCACAATCTGGTCAACCTCGGTGATTTAGAGACCGTCCAACTACATACATGTGAAATACATAGATGAACTACATCCTACTGTATCATTCCACAACCCCTCTTCGCATTTACAGACAATGGAACTACTGTTAGTAAACTATTTTTGGACTCTTTTTGGGGAATAAATCCATGAATACTTTCTCCATGATCAGATAGGACGTTATGAGGTTGATGTAAGACTCGTCATCTTCGACCTCAACTTCTCCAGCATTATTCTTTCCCCTGATTTCTTGCTGGACTGCAGGGATGTTCTGCAAGAAATCCCACAGCGTAGCAAATTCATCATGATGCCACTCGTTCAGCACTTGGCGATTGAGCCTAACCAACTTCTGTGCTTTGTAATAACGACTGTCGGGAATCTGAGTCTGCTCGGACTGGGTTGCACTTGATCGGCTGTTCCGCATTTTAAGTTTGGTGACGTGCAAAACTGTCTTATCAGCTTGACAACCAAGACAGTTTTCTGCGATGCAGAGGAACTTGACGCCTCTTTCTGTCGAGCGCCTTGTTTTCCACCCTGCGACTTCGTTGACAATGCCATTTGGTTTATTGTAAAAGCCAGTCCTTATTTCATAAGCCTCCATGCGACGTTCGTGGCGTGCAACGCCTGACATTGGACTGCCAGTCACAAGACTGGCATCGAGTAGAACGGCGACTAGGAGAAGACATAGAGGGCGTGACCAATCTGGGGACGAGGATGAGGAAATAAACCAAAACAGCATGAGGGAACGGCGGAAGAACAGGACGAGGGAGGGACAGGATGATAGAGCCAAACGAGGTGATGCAGCAAGGTTATGGGAACACAACGACAACGATCTGTGGGGGAAACTTTAAAGGAGGGAATATCGACACAGGGCGCACAAGCACACACATTTGAAAATAAGACTTATTGGCCAGCAAAAGTACTACTTCTTTGTTCGTAGACTTTCGAGTAAGTAAACAAATCAACTGGTACTGGCAGTCAGTCATTTCGGAAGAAGAGGTCAAAACGGGAGCCATACCGAACCAGCCGTTGAGGGAGATCGTTTGGAGAAAGGGAACGAGATAGGGAGTATTTATGCGAATATTCTGAAACATACGCAATTGATCTGAATCAAATTGTTTCTGACTGGACCTTATTTCTTTGATCCTGCGCCGACGGCTATCTAAATTGAGTCTGTATAACCATGCACAAAGAACAAAAAAAAAAAAGAGGGAGGCCAACCAAAACAACAACGATATTTACATCAGTTCGCCCAAATTCAAGCTCATTGCAGTATAGCGGAAGAGCACAACTTTGAACGAGGATACGCAGGACACCCAGTAGAGTACGTCGTCGGTATCGACTGCGGAAGGCGATACGTGGGGAGTATTGTGGATAAAGGTACGTTCCCATCCGGACGGTATAATTTCGCGTTCCGCCGGTGCGTTCTGCGTTCCGACGGATTTGCGTTCAAGTTCGTTGCGTTCAAATAAGTGCGTTCGCGTTCAATATAGCTGCGTTCATGAGGAATATCTATCATATACACTAAACTATTCCCAAATATTTAATCTATCTTTCAGGAAAGTACATCTAAGTTATTGCAGTCAGATTTGAGCTCAAAATAATGCCCAGCTCAAAAACATGATCCTGACATTAATTCTCTATTAGATCATTCAAAAATTAGTGCAGTATAGAGTGATAGAGGGACTCTAGTATACCTCATAGTGCATCCCATAGGTAAGATTGTAAGATTGCTAGTTAGCACAGTCTTAGACACTTCTCTCTTGTTCCACTTCTTATTTTCCAACCAATGTCCAGAGGTCATCAACTATCCAATGATGAAAACCATCATATACATACCTTCTCAAAACATGGGGTTAGTACATTGTGCTGGAATTCTGTGAACTATACTACGGTATCCTGCGGAAGGCGATACGTGGGGAGTATTGTGGATAAAGGTACGTTCCCATCTGGAGTCGGAAAAGTAGAGTTTCTTGCGCATGTCAAGAATCGTTGGCTACAAAGAATGCCGCCACCTAAGGATATGAATGTACATATATCAATGCTTCAATCAACTCTGCTGCATAAAATACTCACTGAGAACCGACATCAAATTTGTCCCCCATATTTGACATCCCAACCTGTCATGAAGTACGCTGCCCCTATCATTTTTCCTTTTCTCACCGTCTCTACGCCCTTATTTGTATGATACATCACTCCATCACTTTCACGTCCCACCATTGTCAAACCCTCATCGATTACTGATCCACCTGACCCCCTTCATCGATTACTGATCCATCAGCTACCCTTCTCCTTCTACTGGCTTCCGCCACCTTCTTTATTCTCAAACTGTACAGTATTACATTGTCAGTTCCCGCAGACCGGATTGTGTATATAAAGCCAGCCCCCCCACTACCTGGTCCCTTATCTTGACCTCTCTGTCATTATCTTGGGACCAGGTACGTGCTTACTTACTAGTACCTACAACTACAATACTAATATAACTCTGTCATTATCTTGGGACCAGTCTGTCTCTGCTCCGCTTAGTCGTTCCGCTTAGTCGTTCCGCATTATCGCTCTGCTTAAAGTCACTCCGCCTCTCTGCTCCGCTTAGTCATTCCACCGCTGCCGCTTTGTGACATTAGGTCAAGATCCATTACTGCACTGACAGCCTACCGATAAGGTTGTCCTTGCAGGATCCATAGACACCACGTCCTCCCCAGTCCCGCCCGATTCTGAAACACCCGCTGCCATTGTAGACTGCTCTGCTCTCCAACACGCACTTGACACCAGAGATCAGCACCACGCCCACAACAACAATAAGAATTGGCGTGATTGCCAGTCTCAACCTTGCCCCAACGCCCTTCCCAACTCAATCCAAGAGCCGATTACTGTGAGCAATATAACCTTCCTGCCCATTCCCCAACCCCAATTGCCTACTCCTATCATGTCGACTCCTATCCCGCCTGCCACACCAGCCCCACCCGCCTCTGCAGAAGATCTCATGACTCAGCTCATTAAACAAGTAGCCAATCTTGCTACAGCCATGGAGGAACGCTCATCCTCCAAGTCTAGCATGAACAAACCCGAGGTATTCAAGGGTAAAGACAGTAATGAAGCACGACGTTTTAGAGCTCAGTTCCAGAACTGGGCATCAGAACAACCTGATCTTTCCAACAGTCAGGCAAAGCTTATTAAATCGGCTTTAGGCTTCTTCACAGAAGGTGCTGGAGACTGGGCAACTCCCCATTTGTTGAATTTCAATGCGGAGAATCCCCCTTTTAAAGGCGATTGGCAGAAGTTTCTTACAGAATTCAGCCAGCGGTTTGAATCGATAGACCCAGGTATGGAAGCCCGTAATGCGATCCAATCCCTGAAGCAGGGTAAAGGGCAGACAGTAGCAGAGTTTGCTCAGAAATTCCAGGACATTGGGAGTCGGACTGAGATGTCTGACATTGACTTAAAGGAACGCTTCTACTATGCCCTACTT